CCCCTACTTATACAGCCCAAAATGCCGTTTGCCTTCTTGGCAACAAGAGCACGCTGTTGACTCATATCCAGCTTCTCGTCCACTGTGACCCCTAGATCCTTTTCTGCAGAACTGCTACCTAGCCATTCGGTCCCTAGTCTGTAGCAGTGCATGGGATTCTTCCGTCCTAAGTGCAGGACTCTGCACTTGTCCTTGTTGAACCTCTTCAGGGTTTTTTTGGCCCAATCCTCAAATTTGTCTAGGTCCTTCTGTATCAGATCCCTACCCTCTAGTGTATCTACCACGCCTCCTAGTTTAGTGTCATCTGCAAACTTGCTGAGAGTGCAGTCCACACCATCCTCCAGATCACTAATAAAGATATTAAACAAAACCGGCCCCAGGACCGACCCTTGGGGCACTCCGCTTGAAACCGGCTGCCAACTAGACATGGAGCCATTGATCACTACCCGTTGTGTTATAGCAGTCTCGGATGATGACCCAGCACATGTTGTTCATTTTAAGAACACTTTCACTGCAGATTTGACAAAATGCAAAGAAGGTACCAATGTGAGATTTCTAAAAATAGCTACAGCACTCGACCCCAGGTTTAAGAATCTGAAGTGCCTTCCAAAATCTGAGAGGGATGAGATGTGGCGCATGCTTTTATAAGTCTTAAAAAAGCAACACTCCAATGTGGAAACTACAGAACCTGAACCACCAAAAAAGAAAATCAACCCTCTGCTGGTGGCATCTGACTCAGATGATGAAAATGAACATGAGTCAGTCCGCACTGCTTTGGATTGTTGTTGAGCAGAACCCGTCATCAGCATGGACGCATGTCCCCTGGAAGGGTGGTTGAAGCATGAAGGGACATATGAATCATTAGTGCAACTGGCATGTAAATATATTGTGACTCTGGCTACAACAGTGCCATGAGAACGCCTGTTCTCACTTTCAGGTGACATTGTAAACAAGAAGTGGGCAGCATTATCTCCTGCAAATGTAAAGAAACTTATTTGTCTGAGGGATTGGCTGAATAAGAAGTAGGACTGAGTGGACTTGCAGGCTCTAAAATTTTACATTGTTGTATTTTTGAATGGCAGTTTTTTTGTACATAATTCTACATTTGTAAGTTCAACTTTCATGATAGCGATTGCACTACAGTACTTGTATGAGGTGAATTGAAAAAAAAAAATTTTTTTTATAGTGCAAATATTTGTAATAAGAAAATAAATATAAAGTGAGCACTGTACACTTTGTAATCTGTGTTGTGATTGAAATCAATATATTTGAAAATGTAGAAAACATCAAAAATATTTAAATAAATGGTATTCTATTATTTAACAGTGTGATTAATCGCGATTAATTTTTTTAATTGCTTTAAACACCGTATCTTGTATTTGTTTGTCTGGAGATTGTTTATTTAGGATATCCTTTTGTTCATTTGAAGGTAAATTTGAAAGTGGTATAGCAGAAGGGACAGTTGACCCAAGTCTAAACCCTATTTCATCATTTCGGCTTTCGGTAATACAAAACTCAGCAGTCTGGGCAATTCTGAATGAGGTGAGATGTTGTATACTTTACCCCTTTTAAAATCAGAATATCAAATATGAGATTTTTTAATTGCATCAACATATTTGAAGCTAAGAATTTTGGATTAATCAGAAAGCTGTTTCTCTTTTATAATTGTCTAAAAATTAAGATTTACTGTAATGTACTAAAACATATGGATTTTTTTAATGTATGATTTTTTTTTCCATTCTTCATTTTAGATTCACATTAAAAAAGTCACAACCTGATCAAAATCTGTTTGGAAGAAAAGAGAGAATCTTTGCAAACTTTTCCTATAATATCCTACATCTTTAACAAGTCACAAATTGAAAATACTGAGCATGCACCTTATTCCAATTGTCTTTTATTTTTCACTCGAACTCTACCTCTTGTGAAATCTACTGTAGATGAGAAGTTTGTAAGTAACCCTTCTTGTCATATCCATCCAGAAACTGATTCTCCACACTGATAACATTCATCTGAGATCCAAGTTGTCCTCCATTTTTACATGACTTTACCATCTTATGGTTGCAGAAGCCTGCTACTCTTAACCCATACTATTTTGATAGTATAGTAATACGGAGAAGTTGTACATATTCTTACATTTCTTGGAGATGAAAAAATATAATTAAATTTTATGAAGGGGGTACTTTTGGGGTTCCATTTATTTTCCTATAACAAAACCCTCTTTTATAGATTATCAGGATATATTTATATCTATATCTAGATATAGATATATAGATATATAAAAACATTAGGGATATTTAATTTATTAAAATAATTTGAAAAGTACATATTTTTATGCAGTAAAATTTTAAATTGATATAGGTTTTTTTTATGGATCATCTAACTTAAATTATCTTTCTACATTTTTCTTTGCAACTGCAAACAACATAAAAAATTAATACCATATTTCAACTATACTGCCATGGTTAAGAAAACTAAATTGAGTTGCTAAATTTTAAAGTACTTTTGTATCACAAAATCTGAAAGCTATTGTTCAAAGCATAAGCATGCCTTAATTGCCGGAGTTCTGAAGAACATTATTCTTGGGGGCTACCATATTCCACTGATTACAAGGCATAGCCACATAAAAAGCATGTTGAAGTATCTTAATATTTCAGTATAACGTAAATGCTAAATCTGCAGTGATTTTAAGTTTAATGCATCACATTTTAGAGGGAGATTTCGATACCGAGCTATCCCTTTTTAAAACTTTGTAGACAGTTCCTAAACTGAATGAATTCATTCACTGTATAGAAAAGCATTCCCTACTTTGTGCTGTAAATTTTGAATTTTGTCTCATGTCCCCAGACATACAAATTCTGTTCAGTACTTTGAATTACTACAATCCTACATGATATTTTTATCAGCAAAAAATATAAAAAAATAGTAATTACTTGTAATTAACCTCATTATAGGTCTCTCTTAAAATGTTTTTATTTCGGTGTTTACCTTAGGTAAACATTGTGGTGGGTGATTTTTTTTTTTTTTGAAGGGTGAGTCCTATCCAACTTCCATGGGAATCAATGGAAAGACTTCCATTGACTTGAATAGAATCAAGCCTAAAGTCAGTTTCCTGCCTTTTGTGCTTCAAGGAAAAGAACAATACTTGTGTAACTGATGAGCAGCCCAGACAGACCGTGTGAGCTCTTTGTGCTGCTACAGCACTGTTCATAACATGTAATGCCATTCAACAGTTCATTAAAATCTAGTAGTTTTTTCATCACATCTCAGCATAGATCTGAGAAATTATTTGGGTTTATTTTCCCCCCCAATTTTACCTGCGACTGATGTCAATAATTTAAATTATAGCTATTTATTAAATTTTATATCATGACTTAATTTTTAAGTCAGATATATGTTTCTGAACAAAACAAGCAATGCCAACAATGTTGTCTTATCGTTCCATGAAGTTAAAATGATTTATAATAAATTTACCAGTACCATTGTTAGGTGCCTTTCCTCTGAGCAGTGTCTTTTTATGGGTTTATTCTGTCAGCACAGTGTTCCTAAAGTAACATTCAACATATAAGAAACTCCAAACATCTCTAAATGTGTAGAAACTCACCCCAAACTGATCACACTTTTGTGTTGTTTCTTTGTGAGCTCTACCTTATATTTTTTCGAATAACTTTTTTCTAGCAGTCAAAATATTGAACTGAAACTCGTCAATTATCATCCATTACCTCCTTTTTGATAAACTGATTTTTTTTAAACGGATTAATTTATATTCTATTTTGTTGGATCTTACTAGCAGGAGCCAGAAATACCCTGGGATGCTATGATAGATTGCACTCTTACTAAATGAATGTGCCACAACAGTAGAAGTGAATTTATTATAAATCATTTAGGGAGCAGATAGGTTTTGTAGATTCAGAATCAAATTCAGACCTGATGTAATCAGGTTCAACTCCGTTGATTTCCTGAGAGTTTGTTCCTTAAATTAGAAGAAGGTAGAGGTGGAGAAAATGTAGCGTTTTTTTGTTGTTGTTATTGTTTAAAGAAAATTATCTCTACATACCATTGTTTTAGACTCTAAATTCTCAAAAATTCTAATTCACAAATCACTCCAAAGTGGTCTGCTCTCCTTTTTGGAGATCCACCTATTTTATGGCAGAATAAGAGCATTTCAAATATTGCTGGACATTAGCCAGTTTGTGTATTGCATTCCTCCATGCTTTATGATTAATAGACACTCCAAATATACTTTATGTGCATTATGTCAGCCAGAAACGATAGTATTTAACACACGAGCTCATCTCAATGTCTTGGATTTACTATAGATTTTTAAATCCTTAGGATTTTTTTGTACGTTTTTCATTTTCAGTGAACTTTAGGTCAGCCTTAAACACTCCTATATAGGAGAATAAAACCTGTAGTAGCTTTACAATAGTAACTATTTCAGACTGAGTTGTATTAGTTCCTTCTGAAGATGTTATAGCTTAAGGAAACGTAGGTCTTTTTTGGAGCAGCTGGCATTTCCAGATACCTTAATTTTCTGATCAAATTGAGTTTAAATCCCCAGATTTGATGCCAATTAAAGCTTTTTCTTAAAATACTACTGTTGTTTTTTTGTTTTTGTTTTTTTAAACAATGATCTTTAGCGGGGCCCACAGCAATTGCAAAGATTTGGCCTATTCATAACTAAATCCTGTTTAGCTTACTAAGTGAATAGTCCTGCTGAAGACTTTGTGTGTGAGTGATGTAAGCAAGATTTGGCCCCATGTCAAAACAATCCCCCCTCTGAAAAAGCTACTACAGGGCTTTCTGCTCTTTTAGGGTCCTAAACTTAATTTATTTGCATTAATTGAAAACTATTTACAGTCATAGGGATAAATGTAATGATTTTTTCCCTCCTCTAGCCATGGTGGTTTGGCAAAGCTCAAGGCAGGTATAGTAGTTATGGACCAGATTAGAATTCTCACCCCATCACTGCTTTTCTCAGCCTTTTAAAAATTTAGATTAGAAAATCATTAGGGTCCCTTGTGAATCTGAGATAAGATACTGGCTAAATTTAAGGCAGAATGACTTTGTACTTCTGCCTTATAATATGTAGTACGTATACCTTTGAGTATGTTGAGGGATCATGTTTAGTCTTTTGGCAAGACTAGACAATTTTGTACTTTTTCCTTCATTTTTTCCATAAGCAAGTATGAAATCTCTTCAGTAATTCCTTGATTTTTTTGTTTGAAATATCTGCTCCAAAAGGAGTACAGTATTAATTTACATCTTGTGCTTCTAATCTGTGCTTTCCTCTGGAAACGAGAATACAAATTTATTCTAAGACCATTGTTTCATGAAATCAAGTATTTGCTTAAGTTTTAGGTTTCTTCTTAACAAGGATCCATTTTGAAATTGGACTAAAATGAAAACTGTACTCATTTTTAAAAGCACGGTTATGCTTATTCATATTTACAAACATTACAGTTTAATACTGAAAGGGTGTCATACTGCTATGCTGCTGTTTTTGGAAATGGAATTTGATTGGTGTAAATATTGACACCAAGACTTTGTCATTTTGTATCATGTTTCTTGATTTCAGTGTTCTCTTGAGTGGGTTTTTTGTGATTTCTACTGTAAGCATTGAGCTAGAACTCTAGGTAGCTTAATGTTGAGAACTATGAAACTTTGTTTCAGGGGGACAAACTTTGATATCTTTACATGACCGGCAGTCATCCTACTCCCATTAATTTTAGTGGTGCAGGATCAAGCTCCTAATTGCAAAACATCATTACTGTTGACTTTAATGGTAGCTGACATGATGATCATCACTGGTGCTAAACGTTCCTATGAAGTAAGGAAGGGTTGCTTTTTTAAAAGTGTTAATTGGTGGCTGCCTGCAGGTCAGGAGCTCTCACTTTGTGCCAGTGTACAGCAGGTCACAACAGAAATTCCCAGCCTCCCCAGGATCAAAGGTATAGTGCTTTACTTGTTGAAATGGTAAATTTTTCTTTGTTGCTCAGTGTTTGCTGAGATTTCAATAGATGACTTGGAGTGCATTCTCTTCAAGCCTTAACAGTGGTGGATACACTACTGTAAAATGAACTGCCAGCAGATTTGGTATTTTAAGCTAAATGTAGTTTTTTTTCTAGAAATATCAAATTCTAGTAATCAAATATTGAAGTCTTATTGTAACTAGTTTGCTGTTTAAAAATATCCTTTTTGAAATTAAAACCTGGTGCTTGAGTTTGATACTGAGCACTGTTTTTGGAAAATTGCCATCTTCATTTGCAGGGTTATTTTTGAGGGGGGGTTGTCAGTTTGTACTCTTGCCTTGTGGAATCTAGTACTGTTAGATCCTGAAACATTCTTTTCTGGCAAAACTTATTCTGTACGTTTCCCCATCTTTTCATTAACCAACCCCTGCTGTAATAGATTTTTATAAATTGGCTAGATTTGTTTAAAACTTGCTGCTATATTTGAAAACCTGATATGGGTCATGTCAACTGTGCCTTTCATCAATGTTTATGTACCACAGCTATCCATGTATATTTGAAATAAAGGCTTAAAAAAAAATCTGTTCTGTAGTTCTTACATAAGCTGAGAGAGAATACTTCTGTCCCTAAGAGACCCAATATGTTGCATTAACAATGTAGCAATATTTTAAGGTGTTGAGTCCAAACTGTCAAAAGGCATGTTAAATAGGGATTGAATACGGTACTTTAAATGCCATGTCTCAGAGCCACTACAGCAACTGCTCTTCAGTTAAGAAGTGACACGCACAGGTGCAGGGCTGAAGCACTCAGAGGGAAAAATTAGTGGGTGCTCTGCACCCACCACCAACCAAGCTCCCCTTACCCCCTCCTCCTTCCCCCAGAGCACGCTGCATCCCTGTTCCTCCACCTACCTCCCAGCGCTTCCCGCTCGGCCCCAAGCAGCTGTTTGGCAGCGTTAGCACGCTCCGGGGGAAGGAGAGCAGCAATGTGGCATGCTCAGGGGAAGAGGTGGGACCTTATGGAAGGGGTGTAGTGGGGGCAGGACCAGAGGGAAAGTCAGCACCTATGGTGACATATACAAAAGCCTCAGTGCTGGCCAAGAATTTGTTTGTGAAAAAGTTGAGTCATCCTTATTACAATAGTGCCATTGGGCTAGACTCTGTATAAACATGATAGTAGAAAGTCCCTGCTCCTAAAAGCTTAGTCTAAATAGACAAGACACAGGGTGAAGGGGTGGAACACAGAGTGAACAGTGTAATAAACAGTTATGTCAGGGGTGGGTTTGCTTATGACTAGATAATGGAAAACAAAGGGGAGGTGAAGACTGTGAGGGAGGGACATGGTTGGGGCAAACAGCCACTCAGCATAGGAAAAAAATAGTTGATGCAAAACCCTAGGATGTTCTGAATGGCCAGTGGTCTCTGTGGTTGGGTGCTTTTGCTCCTATGGGCTGAAGTCTCATGCTGATTGTCTACATTTTTTTGCCCCAAGGCTGTATGGCAGGGGAGGCATCACCTGGGTCTTAATATCCCTACAGTACAGGGGCTCACAGCTGTATCTTTGAGTCCATCGGGGTGGGCCTAATTTCACCACCTGCCCCCGTTCGGGAGTCCTTGCTTTAGCTGACTCCAGCTGCTGCTAGTGGCAGATATGGCTGATACACTGTAGGAACTTTGGCCTGGACCCCACTAACCCCCCACTTCGGACTAAGGTACGCAAATTCAGCTACGTTAATAACGTAGCTGAATTCGAAGTACCTTAGTCCGAACTTACCGTGGGTCCAGACGCGGCAGGGAGGCTCCCCCGTCGATGCCGCGTACTCCTCTCGCCGAGCTGGAGTACCGGCGTCGACGGCAAGCACTTCCGGGATCGATTTATCGCGTCTAAACCAGACACGATAAATCGATCCCAGAACATCGATTGCCTGCCGCCGGACCCTCCGGTAAGTGTAGACGTACCATGTGACTGAGCAGCAATCAGGCATTATTAGTGTAGCTAAACTTAAGCAGCATTAAACCTGAGAACCACACAATAATAAACCAAGCACTTTGTCTTCAAAGTGATTTATAACTAGCCTCCATCTATTGATTCCACTAACTTAATATGGTACTTATCCCATTAAAAGACATTAGCAGTGAGAATTATGCTATTCAACTTATTCATAGGTAGATTTATTACAAAAATGTACATGTAGTTTGTCTTGAGGAATGTACTGCAAAAGTATTCATACAGAATTACTAACATTTTTACTGTTTGTAAATATTTTAATCATTAAAAATTGCAATAGACTCTTCAAGCTTTTTACACTTATCTACAAAGAGAAAATTTACAACCATTTACAACGAGAGGTCTTAGATGTGCATACTGTCAGCAGCTAAGACAAACTACACCGTAGAGACATATGAAGTCCTGTTTTTATTTCACTCTGAATTCATAGAAAGTACAAAGTGTCTTGGTGAAGTTCCATCCCAGTGCTAATGAGAGCACATACAGCAGAATTAAGAGTGCAAATGGATACAAAAGGATAACTGTGTTCTTCAAAAATGGCAATGCTAGAAAAGAAATACAATTATAATCAATACAAAATTATTTAAAACCAGCAATTAGTTGCATTAATGGACCAAAACCATCAACTGTTACATCTAGAAGGACCCTGGGGAGAGGCTGCCAGTATTTCATCAATTTCTTAACAGCTTGGTTAAAATTAGGTGCCTGTTTATCATCCCTGCCATGCTGATTCTGCAGCCCTTTGCCCAGATACAGAATAGCTTCTATCAGAGTAAAGGAGTAATTGAGGTAGCTCTGTATACATTAGTACAGCCAACTTGCTCAATGATTTTGTTGCATTACTACCCTCCTCTCTAGTCAATCTGCGAGTCCAGAACTAATGTAAGGGTCTTGAAGTTTGACGCAGCAGCTGAACTGGATTATAGTACAACACAATGGCGAGCATCAATGAGTACCAATATCTTCTGTGCAAAGAGTGTTTTAATACCACCCCATAAATTGACAAGTCCTTTAGGTATAAACTTTTTAACCCAGTTTGGACATTTAGATAAGGGAGTACCTAGGATTCTTGGCAAAGGATTACAAATGATTAACTCCAACCACCCAGTATTGGGTTTGGAACGGAACGGGAAAAGTGATGTTCAGAAAAAATGTAACAATGGAACAAGCTGCCAAGGGAGCATGTGGAATTGCTTCATTAGACAGTGAAGACTACAAGACATCTATCATGGAGGGATAGCTTAAATAAATCAACACTGAATTATTCTCCTACTTCTGCATTTGAGATGATCATTACAAACCTATGAATTCATAAATTAAAGTAGCTTACTGGGCCAGGGCTCGGTTGTTTTCATATAGTCAGTTGCCTAATTAATAAAAGCTTTTGAAATTACTTACCACTGTACCCTAAAAATGTTACATAGATATAATAACCAATTGCAATGAGCCATACTGTGTTCCCAACAAAATATCCCATGAATGAGGTTGACGAGATAACATCTGTAAAAGAGAAGACAGTTGCTCTAGTACCTGCCTGAGGCCCAGCACCATGGCAAAAAGCATTAAAAAGGCTGTTCTACTTACAATTGATGAAAAACAGTTGGATAAAATGCAAAATGACTAGAAGTGGATAGAAAGCATTCAGATGAACATCAAAGGCATATCCCCATTCCACATCATAGTCTCTGCTCTGTCGCTTTACCAAGTACTTATTAGAAATAAACCTAATTGGAAAAGAAATTTAAAAGGAATAAGTTGTGAAACAATTTCGCACTTTCATGTTTCCTAAAGTTATGTTGATTTGACATTCCACCTATAGTTAAAGTAATGAAGTCACATACAGGAAAAAAACCTCAAGTCTTTACCATTTAATTCATAAGTTCAATCCTTTCAAATGTCTCTGCATAATTGCCAACCTCAGATGACTGAAAATTATTTCCCTAATGTGTGAATAAAACATGGTAGCCTAAGCAAAGGTGAGTATTTCCCCAAAAAGACAGCACAGACTAGCCTTTTGTTAGCCCATTTCTCTCTCAGCAGTAGTCACATTCTTTGATGCTGAATAGAAAGTGCAAACACTGTGCACAGGAGAACAGCAGCTTCCTTTAATTATAGGATACTGAAGAAGCCCTGTCTTTCAGTTGTCCATCCACTCACTTCCCAAAAAGGCTGGGGATAGCCACATCTTCACATTTCCTGTGTTACAAAAATCTCAGTTGCATTCAATTTTAGAGACAGACGGCACACTGGTTACCTCATTTAATAAACGCCCCACCTCCACCAAAGAAGGCAACAAAATACTTAAAATATGGGTACTAACTTGATATGAGTACTACATTACTTGCTGCACCCAAAAACAAAGCAGACCAAACATGGTTTCTGGTTTTGAGATTATGGACCAAATCAATAGTTTAGCCTAATTTTCACAGGCAAACTTCCACTGCAGTCTATGGAAGTTTTGCCTAATTAAAACCTGAGTAGAGCTAAGAATTTGCTAACACATTTTGGGCATATACCTGGAATAAGAGCAGAACATTCCTTATATGATCAACAAACTTCCAAAGTCATTTTTGAATCAAATATTGCATTTTTTTTCAAGGTCACTCTACTTTAAAATGTCGTTTTCACTAATGAGAAATCAGTTCTTTAAAGTGCCCCTGATTTCCTTTACAGTTTTGACAAGAGCTTTCCTGCCTTTTCCCCCACCTCCCTGCTGCTTCAAGTGAACCACACAAGCAGCAGAGAAAAGAGCAAGTGTGAGAATTGAGCCCTTCCTGTGCGTGTGCCTCGAGGAACCAACTGAAGGCAAAAGATGGCCTCTGCTATTGGTCTTTCAACAGTGGAGAAAAGTCCTACCACTGTTCTCAGCTGTTTCCCTCAGAGGTCCAATACTGCAGAGGAACCAGCATCAGACATATTCTCAACTCCTGCCCAATCAGGTGCTATCCTCAAGGACTGGAAAAGTCTCCTGTGTCTGCAGGGAGATTCTTGGCCCTCACTACCCTGACAAGATTCTTAGAATTGGAATACTATATCTCAGGGGTGGGCAAACTACGGCCTGTGAGCTGAGCCGTTTTAAACCAGCCCCTGAGCTCCCACTGGGGAGTGGGGCCCGGAGCTTGCTGCGCTCCAGCCAGGGCGCTGGGTTGGGGACTGCACCACACTGCTCGGCCCCACTCCGGCACTCCAGTGGGGGTGCAGGGTCAGGGGATGCACGGTGTAGCTCCCGGAAGCCATGGCATGGCTCCGCTCCAGCTCCTATGTGCTCCAATGGCCCCCTCCAGTGCTCCAATGGGAGCTGCAGGGGCAGTGCCTGCGGACAGGGCAGTGTGCAGAGCCGCCTGGCTGCGCCTCCGCATCCGCATAGGAGCTGAAGAAAGGGACATGTCACTGCTTCTGGGAGAACTCAGCAGGAAAATAGGCACTGAGAGGTGCAAGTGACAAATTTCCTCTAAGTATTAACCTTTTTTGGCAGAAAAAGGTCAAGCGAAATAACTATTTTCTAGTGCTCTATTCACAGCCAATGAAAACTCTTAACCCTCTCTTCTGAGCAAAGTCATATCGTACAGATTTAAGTACACTGCCTCAGCAACAGGGACCTTCAACTCCCTTATAGCAATGCCCAACTTAGTTCTAGGTGGAATTATTTACTTACCACATTAAAGTTGCTATTAGAAGGCCAACGCCTACACAGTCTATAAACACAACCCAAAGAAGTAGCTTTATCATTTGAAAAAATCCCATGTCCAGCACAAATCCAAATCCTATAGTAGAGACTGGGGGGTGGGGGAGAGAGAGAAGAGGAAAAAGAGAGATTAATCCTTCCTAGCTGGAAAAATGCTGTAACACCAAACAATGCCAGTTCCTCAAACTTTGACATTCCAGAGGTTAACTTTTTGGAGGAGATCTCCTGAAATCTCAACATTTTCCCCTTTATTCCTCCTCACCCCTAAGATCTTCTGCAAAGCAGTTCCTTTTTCTATTCAAATGCTGCATAGCATACCACTTGTGTATAATGTGGTTGGCTTAGGTTCAGCGTGTGGCACCACTGCCATTGAACTAATCTCACGTTTTTAAACTTACAAACTTTTAATGAAGACGATACCTTGTTAAGCAGAAGTGCAGAGTAAGAGCAACAAGCAGAGCTGAAGTCTCACTCTTTCAGTTACAACAAAACCACCTGACAGCGCAGAGCTTTCTGGCTCTGAAGACTCAGATGTCCTGTCCATTTTAGTTGAATGAAAATGCCGTACACGTAAGACACATTCTTATAAGAGTTCCTTGGGCAGCTTTGGGAAAACATCCGTGAAACACAAATGGATCTAGGAAATATTTCCCATCCAACCACAAGAACACTAGAATTTCAGAAGTAACAGCTTTGTTATGACTGCAGGTACCGTGCCACGTCAAAAATGGACTGGATATTGTCTTTTAAAAGGCAACAGTAAAAACACAATCTGAACTGAAGCTTACATGCAAAAGATTTTCTTTTGATTGGTGATGACTGACGTTCACAGTGTCTCGCTGCGGCTTTGGTCACTGAATTATTTGTATTATCAAAGCACCTAGGAGTCCTAGTTGTGGATTACGACCCTACTGTGCTAGGTACAGTACAAAAAGTGAGTCTCTGCCCCAAAGGGGTTACAATCTAAGTATCAGACAAGAGACAACAAATAGATAAAGACAGACTGAGTCTACAAGGAAACAATGAGACAATACTGGACAGCATGATAGGCAGAGGTCTCAGCATACAAGCAGCCTAATTGTTGCCAAGGGTTCTGTAGGCATCACAGCAAAGGAGAGTTTTGAGAAGGCCTTTGAAGGTGGATAATGACATTCCTTTGCTGATGTTTATGGGGCGCTCCTCCCAAGCGTGTGGGTCAGCATGGGAGAAAGCATGAAAGCGCTGTTTGAAAATATAACAATGGAGTAGTGGGCAATAGAGGCTGGCATCGCAGGAAAGGAAGTGAGCATCCACAGGTGGATAGCGAATGAGAAACGATAGGTAAATTGGGGACTGACCATGAAGGGCCTCGAAAGTGAACACAAGCACCTTATGTTTGATGTGATAGTGAAGAGGCAGCCAGTGAAGAGATTCAAAAACAGGGGTGATGTGGTCAAAGCGCAGGCTAGGAAAATGATCTCTGCAGAAGCATTGTGAATGGATAGGAGTGGGGCAAGACTGCATTTGTCAAGGCCAGAGAGAAGGATGTTACAGTTTTAGTTGTATGGATAGATAAGAAAGGCCTATTCTTAGATACAGCCTGGATGTAATGACCTAGCAAGAGGTCTGAGTCAAGATGATGTCTGGCTTACAGGTCTGAGTGACAGGCAGGATGGTGGGGTTGTCTACAGTGATCAAGAAAGGGGGTAGTAGGAAGGTATGGGGAGGAGAGGGTTTGCAAGAATAGGAGCTCTGTTTTAGCCATGCTTAGCTTGAGCTGGCAGCTAGACATCCATGAGGGATGTCAGAGAGACAGTCCAAGATTTTAGTTTGGACAGAAAGGTAGATCTGTGAGCCATCAGCATATTTGTGTTTGTAGATAAGATGACCAGAGATAAGGTATAGAGGTAGATGAGAAGGGGAGCAAGGACAGAACCCTGTGTAAAGGGTACTTTGCCTGTAATGGGTTCAACATTAGGGACTGTCTTTTTGTTCTGTTTTTGCACAGTGACTAGCACAATGTCTACAATTTGGGTGCCTGTGTATTATGGTAATACACGCAACAATAATACATCCCATTTACTAATCATCCAAATGTTCAACTATTTAAAAAAAACAACACCAAGAATAGTCATTCATTCCTCTGGTTGTCTTTGCTATGACACAATTATTGAACCCCCCCGCCTCCCAGTTTGAAACACAGAACAGAGACAAGACTTGATTACAGTAAACATAAATAAACTCTTTAGAGGATTCTAGATACAGCTAGACCCTCTGGTTTACCCTGGTTCTCTAATTTCTAAATGGTTACTGTAACCTTTGAGTGTAGATAGCTCATCAGCTTCTTTTCCATTCTGATTAAGGGCCTCTACAGTCAAAAACTGAGGGTGCTGAAAAAAACCCTGTGAAGGTACATTCCTGCAACTTTATTGAAAAGAGAAAGATCTTATCTATCTTAGGTACTTATATGGCCACCACCACTGTAGTATCTGCGCACTTCACAACCTTTTTAACATGTTTATCCTCACAACACTCGTAAGGTTAGGAACTACTACTTTCCCCATTTTACAGATGAGGAAGTGAGGCATAGCAAGACTAAATGAGTTGCCCAAGGTTACACAAAGTCTGTGGCAGAGCAAGGACTTGAACCCAGGCCTCCCTAATCTTAGGCTAATGCCCAATTCTTCCTCTTTCCCACCTCATTTTTGCTGATCATGGAAATAGACACTCACCACACAGCCAGATACTCAGCAATACCAAGAAAGCAGGATCATCTCTTGCCCACTGGTCCTTTGTTTGTTTTCGGTAATGAAAGTTTCTATAAACTCTCTGTGGTGAAGTGAACAGGTAGAGCATCTGCCAAACAGCAAACTCAAAGTCCATCTGCCGGAAGTGAAGGAGCCTCCTTAGATATTTGTAGCGTTTTGCACCCGCTGTATGTCTCGCTGCATCCCTGGAGTTTAACGCACCATTGCCCTGGTTTGGGGAACTAACTGAAGTGGTCGGCAACATTTTTCTGAAGGAAAGATTTTAAAGTTAAAACTAATTGATTTTACATAATCTTAGAAATGACAGATGTAAAATTAGAAGCGTTTTAAATTATGCAGTGTTAATTATGGCATTTAGATATAAATCTAATTTGCAAGGGTAATCAGGCAAGTAGCTAGCTAAATACTACCACTTGTGCCAGCAAGACTACGTGTAAAATTATAAGCTAGAGTGTGCCCCTTTCAAAATGTGGCCATTTATGTGAATTGATTCCCCTTTCTGCTGCCTAAAAACAGTGTATTGAAATAGCATAGTTTAGAGACCTGCGCACCAGGATTGGTGCCAATAATACATAAATTAAAATTCCAATCTGCTACTAACTCAGTATGTGGCCCTTGACAAATTATGTAACCTCTCTATCCCTCCCCCTTTCCATGTATAACACAAATACACCTCTATCCCGATATAACGCGACCTGATATAACACGAATTCGGATATAACGCAGTAAAGCAGCACTCCGGGGGGCGGGGCTGCGCACTCCGGTGGATCAAAGCAAGTTCGATATAATACGGTTTCACCTATAACGCGGTAAGATTTTTTGGCTCCCGAGGACAGCGTTGTATCAAGGTAGAGATGTACTTACCTGCCTACTGCATGGGGTGCTGTGACAATCTTTGTACACTGCTCTGGAAACAAAGCACTCTTCAAGCACTAAGTATAAATGTACAGTTTAACAATTGCCCTTGAATGCTTTTACTATTAAAGATATTCTATTTTACACAGCATTATATTTTAATTATTTCAGATAAAAATTCAGTGTGCCCCACTCCTCAAAGAAGCATAGGCATGTCATTCTGGGCTAGAGGGAGCCACCTCTGTTTGCTTGGGATTCAAAGCCATGAATCTTCTCCCTACCTAAGCTCTTTCTTACAACAAACAAAACAAAATAAAGACGAGATGATTGTGTCTCCCCTTATAAACTTCAGTCCAGTGGGCAGGGCACTTACCCAGGCTGTGGGAACCCTCGCTTCAAAATTCCCCTTTGCCTGAGGTAGGGAGAACCCAGGTCTCCCATGTCTCAGATGAGTGCCAACTGATTATTGGGTATTCTGGGGTGGGTCTCTCAATCTGTCCCGTTGAAGCTGTTCCACTTTGTATTAATAATTAAATAGTCAATGCAACGCTGTTTTGAACTCAGGTCTCTGAATATCAGTATTAGTTTAAGGGCCTGAAAGGACCACCAGATAATCTAGTTCGACTGCCTATATATCACAGGCCACCAACACCACCCAGAACCCTACACACTAAACTCAACAACCAAAATATTACTGCCCACAGGAGATGAGACTGTGATGTGTCACAGGCAGAGAATAGGAGGGACTAAGGCTATATCTACGCTAGCACTTTTGTTAGTAATACTTTTGTCGGACAGGTGAGTGAGGGAAAAAAACACCCCTCCCCCGACCAACATACATTTCACTGACAAAAATGCCAGTGTGGATAGCGCTACATTGGTGGGAGATGCTCTCCTGCTGACATAGCTACCACCGCTCATTGGGGTGACTTAGTTATGCCAGGAGGAGAGCTCTCTGCTGCCAGCACAGAGCGGCTACACAGGAGACTTTACAGTGGCACAGCTGCAGCAGTATAGCTGTGCCACTGTAAGATCGGTAGTGTCATAGTCTGAGGTGCACCAATGCCTGAGGCTCCTGCAATGGTAGGGTAGTGACTGAGATATACCCAGATAATCCGAGCAAGTGACCCACACTCTCACACTTCAGGGGAAGGCAAAAAACCCCAAATGCTGAACTCTCTGCCTGACCCCAAATACGGGGATAGTTATACCCTGAGCATGAGAAAGAAAAACTGCTGAGCCACCTCCGACCCCAACCCAGCTAATGTCCCACCTCCAGCAGTGGCCATCCCTGATGTTTCAGAGGAGGGAGACCCAGTGAGTCCCAGCAGGACGCGCCCTGGGCCCTGCCTTAACGCTGAGCTAGAGTCGCTCTCAGACCGAGGCTAGTTAAGAGCCCCCGCAAAGTGGAACAGCTTCGGCAGCACAGATGGAGACACACCCACACCCCCCGCAGTGCCCCGCGCCCAGGGGTCCGGGCAGCCCCTGGTTCAAGTTCCTTCCCCGCAGCAGGGCAGAGAACGCAGGTCTCCCCCTCCCCCTTCCGCCCTCAGCTCCCGCCTCCCCGGCAACGATCAGCCCGGGGCACGTGCCCAGAGGCGGCTCCGAGGCGCGAGGCGAGAATCGCCTCCTTTGAGGACCCGGGGGGGGAGGAGGGCCGCGCGCGCAGCAGCAGAAGGGAGGGGCCCCCACCCCGCAGGGATCCCAAGGCCCTGGGGGCGAGACCTCCGCCCGCAACTGCCCCGCTCACCTGCCGCTCCAGTCCCGCCCCTCCCCTCCCAACCACACACAGCGCGAGGGTCTCCCGGGGTGGTGCGCACCCACAGCAAACTCCAGCTGCTTCCGGCAACGTAGCGCGGCGCGCGCCCCCTGACCCGGCCCGTGATCCTGCGTCGCGGTGCATGCTGGGTACGGTAGTTCCTGTCCCGGCGGGGAAGAGCGGTGGCGGTGTCTGCGCGTGCACCGCAGCTGGGTCAAAGGACAACAAGATGGCGGCGTCCTGCAGAGCGAACTGGGAGGCGGTGTCGGCGGCGCTGCAGTGAGGAGCCGAAACGCTGTGTGTGGGGGGCGCTGCCGCGATGCCCAAATACTATGAGGAGAAGGAGGAGGACGGGCGGGCCTGTGCGGGGGTGCGGGAGGACCTGAGACAGTGTCTGCTCGAGACCTCCTGCGTCATACAGGTACGCGGGCGGGGCGGGGCCTGCTGAGAGACCCCCTGCGTCACACAGTCAATGGGGGGAGCTGGGCGGCCCCTTCCCTGTTCCCCCTGGTGACGGCCTCGGCCGGGACACTGCACCTGTCTCGCGCCCGGTCCCGCAGCGCCGTTGCCCCTGCAAAGCGGTTGGGTCCTCGCGGTTGCCCGGAGCCTGGGTCCCCCTTGACAAGTGGCCATGTACAAAGAGCAGCGTCTCACTCAGCAGATCTGCTCCCTGTGTGAGTCGGGCCCAGCCGGGACTGTGGGTGAGACAGTCACTGCTCCTCCGAGCCCCGTGGAGTTGCACAACTGAAAGGGAAGAGCTGGACACTGGTCTTCCCCAGCTGCCATCAGCAGAACTGTCCCGCCTAGTTACACCTGTACACGTAATTTGTTGAAGTCTTGCCTTTATTTACACATGTGCTACCCCATTGAAGGCATTAGTGTCCCAGCGTAAATGGCAAAAAACGTAATACATCTACCTTAGAATGGTCATTGGCTGAGTTCACCCACCTTATCTTAAGAACATAAGAACGGCCGTACTGGATCAGACCAAAGGTCCATCCAGCCCAGTATCCTGTCCTCTGACAGTGGCCAATGCCAGGTGCCCCAGAGGGAATGAACCTAACAGGTAATGATCAAGTGATCTCTCTCCTGCCATCCATCTCCAGCCTCTGACAAACAGAGGCTAGGGACACCATTCCTTACCCATCCTGGCTAATAGCCATTAATGGACCTTGGAAATTGGTTCCAAGGAGCCTTGGAAAGCCGGATGAAAATCTACCAGCTAGCACATGATAGTGATAAAACTAATAAAATATTATTTGTCTCAGGCAAATAGCCAAGCAAAGGAAGATTACTGTATCCATTTGGACTATTAATATTTTTGTCCATTTCCTCATCTGAAAAATGGGAAATAATACAAGCGTATTGTTTGACGTAATGTTTGTTAAGCACTTCCAAAGTGAAAATTCTATATAGCGCTTTGTATTATTATTAGATCAATCTACTTTATTTTTTCTGGGTTAACATATCATCTATGTTTTATTGTGTCATTGGTTGCCACCTCTCATGACATGTCCTGCATGACAGAACCACTATTATATGATATATCATATTCTGTGCTGTCAAGATTTGTGACTTTAGGGTTGTTATTTAAAGAGAACTGGAATGCTCATTTTGACATCCAGGAGATTTTGAAGTTGCTAATAAGAAGCTATCTTCAAAATATAATACCTTTTCTCTTAATCATACCTATCTCTTAGTCAAACTAAACCTCAGCAGTATTGGAAATAACAAAAGTGCTCTTTATTTTGTTTGCTAAATTGATTGTTCGTATATAAACTGTCAGTATCAAAGCTACAAACTCTAGTGAAGATCAAAGAAGACAATTCATGGAAAGTCAATGTCAGTACAAGAATTAAAACTTCTTTAGCTATTTCGGACCTTGTGATTATTTCCGGACAAAGTACCTCCAGAGCTAATGTTGCTTGATAATGTTGCTTGGTCCACATTGTAACCAGCCGGTCAATAAAAACCAAAGAATTTGCCACTTTAGGCAACACCACCAACGTGAGATCACCATAACCTTTTATCCCTTGAATAATAGGCTATGGAGGCTTTGTAAAAAATCTTTGTACAGAGAGACTTGCACTGAGCGAAACTGCAGAAAATTAAAAAAAAAAAAAGTAGACCAGTTATGAAAGTTTTGAGTGGTGAAGTTTTAGACCATGTTTTCCAATTACATAGGATAAATATCCTGAAAGGGCCATGCCCACTGTCTAACATGAGTTAGCAATAAACCTTTTTTCCTGGTGAAGATGCAGCCTCTGAGTAGGTTTATGTGCAGCTACTGAAAATCTATAAACATTAGATGCCATTTTTACCTGATCATTTTCTATTTTAAAAAAGAATGTTGTTCTACACCTGAGCTTTTGTTTTTGAACTGCCATCTTTCCATCTAAAATCCAAAGGAGAAATGAACTGTTAATGTTTGTCAAACACTCTCTGAACATGTGAATTGCTACATATATGCCAAGTATGCAAAAGGGTTCAGTTGCTGTGATGGCATTGATACTTAAACTTCTTTAACAACTTACTGAGCACTGCAAGTTTTCAAGCAGTATATTACCTTTATGGACATCTCATTTTAAATAGACCAGAAAATCTTGCCCTCTTTCATGATATACTGAAACCGAGTAGAAATGTAGGAATGAGAATTCCACAATGATTTATTTACTTTAGAGGCACCTACAATAGAGATAAGTATAAATAAACAGAATCATTGTAAGGGCTTGTCTATACTTACGCGCTGGTTCGGCGGCAGGCAATCGAACTTCTGGGTTCGATTTATCGCGTCTTGTCTGGACGCGATAAATCGAACCCAGAAGTGCTCCCCGTCGACTCCGGTAATCCTGCTCGGCGCGGCGGAGTCGACGGGGGAGCCTGCCTGCCGCGTCTG